CCCCTGCAACCTGGCGGGGGGGGCTCCAGCCCAGCAGCCATACTTGGGCATAAGGCAGCGAGAAGGCTGGCATCTGGGCTCTCATCTGGATGGTCTGCTTCTGCTGTTCCAGGCGCATCTGCCTCTCCTTCTCCTGCTCCTGCAGTCGCTGGATGGCCAACTGACGCTGCATCTCCAGGTACTCCTGTGGGAACAGGCCGTGACGGCTAGAAGCAGGACACTGCAGCCAGGCCAGCCGTCCCTGCCAGCCCTGGGCTGGCCCAAAGTGCAGGCAGGCCTGCTGGCTGATGCGGCCCCGGATACCCTGGAAACGCTGCCCTGCCTCACCTGCTTCTTCTGCCTCATGATCTCTAGCTTCTGGGCCAGCTGGATTTGGCGCTGGCGTTCTGCCTCCTCCGCTGCACGGCGCAGCTTCTCCCGATGCTCCTCCCGCAGCGCGTTCAGAGCCCCACGTGCATCCCGGATCTGGGCCAGTTTGTCCTGCAGGCCTTCGTAGTACACTGGGGAGAGAAGAGACAGCCTCAGGGTCCTTCTTGGGGCAGAGCACTCGGACCACCCCTGCACACTGCCCTGGCTTCTCTCCAGAGAGGCTATGCCATAGGAATGTTGAACCCCAGCGCTCGGGAAGCCCTGGTAGCCACCCCGCTCCTCGCCAGGACGCCCTCCCACGCCCTCGGCCACGCAGCTCCCACGTACGCCTGCGCTCGTCCAGCTGGTTGAGCAGCTCCAGCAGCTGGGGGTGCATGTTGTTGATGGACTGGAAGAGGGACAATACGGCAGAGTCATTGGTGATGCTGCGGCCTCGCATGTGGTTGCTCTTCATGCGGTTGACAAATGTGGTGACAGCATTCTGCAGCGCCTTCAGGAACTGCTCGTGGTTCTCCTCAGACTCGCCGTTCTGGTACTGCTGCTGGAAGGACAGGGCAGCCAGTCAGCCTCAACTTTCCTTTGCCAAGAGCCAGCAGCAAGCCTGCAGAGCTGCACGACTGGGGTGAACAAAGGAGTTGGGTACTCCTCAGCCCTCAGAAGCTGCCAGACACAGGTCCAGGCCCCCTCTTACCTCAACAACACTGAGCGGGGCGGGGTGGGCTTCCCCAGGCTGAGCAGCTGGCTCTGTGAGGGACAGAGGTGCTGACGGGGTGGGGCTCTTGCGAACTTCCTCTTGTTTCTTCTCCCAGTAGTTGCGGTTCAGGTACCGAGCCAGCTGCCAGAAAGAAAAGGAAGATGAGCATCGCAGCCCCCCTGGGAGTGAGCCTGTGCCGTGGACTAGGTAAGGCCTGGATCCTTACCTCCGGGTCAATGTCCTCAGCCAAGGGAGCAGAGGAATTCTGGAAAGAGAGAAACAGGGAAATCTGGTTCACAGAAACCAGAGACCCACAGCTCCCACACAGATGTCCCGCTCAGACCTGGCCATGCACAACCACCAGTGCTGAACACCAGCATGAGACTGAAAGGGGACAGCCGTCTCCTTCAGCCAGACACATGCTGCAGCTACTGGAAGCAGCGGAGGCACCTAAATGCCAGCTGAGTACAGACCTTCTTGCTAGAAAACACAGTAGTGCTGTGAAAGAGCAAGGGATTGAACAGGGCAAATCTTTTCTTTCAGAACAGGGATTAAATCTGACCCAAGCAGGGCAGGCTTAGGCTAGGGAAGTGGCCTGCGTCCAGCCACTTCACTTTCAGGGGCTCCCATGAACGTACCACAGGTGGGGAATAGAGCGTGCTGACCGGGGGGGCTGATGAGGTGACGGGTGTGGGCTCAGCCTTCGGATACATGGAGTAGGTTGTTTTCTGCCTCTGCAAAAGAGGAAAAACCAGGGACTGTCCAGATTCCTCCAAATCACACAGTCAGCAACAGACTGGGCACGCTGGGTGGGCGAGGCTCCTAGCAATGGCCAGGCATGGCCAGCAGACTCAGCCTCATGCTTTGTACAATTCCTGCAGGCCAGCGTGCCCCAGGGCTTGCAGCTCAGGCACAGCCTGCTTCCAAGATTTGGGACTGCAACACTGCATGTGCCTGGCTCCGCTTTCACCCTCTCATTCCAGAGGCCCTGCGACTCGCTCACACCAGGACATGGATCTAGAGATCTGTTACCGCACAGCTAGCAGATGCCCAGCATATCTGGGCTGTATGGCAACAACCACTCCCAGATGCCGAGCAGGCACAAACCATTCTCTCCTTCTCCTCAGCCTCTGACTGAGACAAGGCAATAGCTAGCTGGAGCTCTTCCTCCTCTTGCAGAGCTGTCTCATCACGCTTTGGAGGCAGCTGCGAGCAGAAACATGAGGAGGCGGTCAGTAAAGGGATCAACATGCAGGTAAGGATCACTAGATCACCTACAGGGCAGCCACTCACCTGGGACTGCTGAGAGAGAGGGCTGGTCAGGTACTCGGGGGGCAGTTCGGAGGTGGCAGCAGCTTTACCGTCAGCTTTCCTGTAGTCAGAAAAAGGTGACAGTGCAGACTGAATGCTCCTTCCTCCACGCTGGAGCCCCAGCTCTGCACAACACTACAGCTGTAAACCCTGTTCCCAGGAAGGAAGGGAACCCAGCCCAGCCTGTGCAGCTTGGGAAACCCTTGCTCTGGTCTGCAGACAGGTGGCTCCATGCCAAGCTTCTCCCCTCACAGTCCCAGCAGGCAAAGAAACACACCACAAAGGGTACTCACTTGTTGAGATGCTCATAACAGGGCTCACAGACTCTCACTTCCTTCTCAATCCCAAACTTGGGGATGGTGGAATACTTGGAGGAGCATTTGCCACAGAAGATCTGCCCGCAGGCCCTGCAATGATGCTGCAAAGGATGGGAGACATCAGTGTGGTAGCAAGACTCTCCTTCACCATTAGACAACATCACTCAGACACTCTTGGCGGTCCAGCCCTGACACAGTTCCACACAGGCTCAGGGAGTCCTGCAAATCCTGGGGGGCTGTGCAGGACCAGGGAACCCAGCGGGGCAGGAGCGGCACCCACCTTCCGTGTCACAACGCCAAACTGCACTCGACATCTGTGACACTCCTCAGCATCGACCCAGTCTGGAGCCTGTCAGGGTTAAGGAAACTTGCATAAGGAGGGCCTCAAGGAGAGTGTCTCCACTGAGCCTTTCACGAGCTCCTATGGCTAGCCAAGGTGCTCTCACGAATGGGGGAGACTGGAAGCATTTGCAGCTCAACAGGAAATATTAATCCCCACAAGTTATCTTCTCTCGTGTAACTAGAGACTGTGATGCTTTCCCAGTCAGCAAAAGATTTTCTAGGAATGCGTCTGCACAGCAATCGCTTTAGCAATGCCCTGCTACCTGCTGCTGGAAGGCCACCAAGTAGAGCAAGATGAGCCTAACTCCCTGTCCTGGTCAAGTCTCCCCTCCCTCTGGTAGTTTTAGGCTAAATTGCTGTACACCACCCCAGAACTACCTGTGTGACAGCTCGGAGCAGTATGCACCCAGCAAGGTCTCTAATCTACATTAAACGGAGGGATGCAAGAACTGAAGGTTTAGTAGGAAGGGGACAGGAGAGCAAGGTCTGTCCTGCAGTGCCAACTCCCTCCCCACGAGCAGAGCTCACCCTTTCTGCAGCGAACATGGCATCGCTCTCTTTGAACTCCGGGAACACGTGACCTGCGGGAGAAGCGACAGAGTCCTGTTGTGAAAGGGCTCCTCCGCACAGGGAGGCCGCGGTGCCTACAGCCTGGTGCCGTAGGTCCCAGCCACACATCAGATCCAGCTCAGCATGCCTGCCTTGACCAGCCTGACCATTATCTTACTCTGACACAACTAACAGCAATCTTCCTCCTGGAGGAGGCCAGAGGGCAATGCTCGCACAGCACTTGCTGCTGTCTGCGAAGTACTGGGCTCTCAGCCATGCTCTCGAAAGCACAGGACAATCCCCTATTGGGGTATTACAGGTTTCACCTGTAAGGGACATCAGGACCCTTTGGATAAGGCTTATTTCTCAAGACCTTGAACTCAGCATGGTGGGGAAAAAAGCCCACTGCGTGGGCTCACCCCATTCAAGGGCTCACCCCTTGAATGGCAAGAGTGTGGCAACACTGGCTTGGCAGGGGACCGGGACCTCCAGGCTTTGCCACTGCCCATGGAGGTTCTGGTGCACAGAAAGTGGCAGAGACAGCAGTGCGTCCCTTCCCTCACAGGGAACACTGCCATCCCCAGGACAAGGGAAAGTGCCATACTGACACTCTGTCAGAAAGCAGAAGCCTGGACCCGTCCTGGAGGTACTAATGAAAGCCTGGGAGGAAGGAACTGCCCCACAGTAAATCCCTTCCCAGAGAACACACTGATTTGCTGCCAGTTTCCTGAAGAACATTTGCAGCTCCTGCTTTTCAGGTCTCACTGCCAACCCTTAGCTGCTAGCTGGGCTGGAGGCCCAGAGCAAAGCAGCCCCCGATCCTGGGACAAGGGGGCTGTCCTCTACCTGCAGCAGGATTCAGTCACTCCAAGAGGTTCATCAGGTATCGGGCACCAAGAAAAAGCTCAGTATTGCAAATCAGATTTTGCTAACACCAGGCAGGGTCGTGACACCTATTCCTTCTCCTGCAATGCTCCTCCAGAGTAGAGCTGCTTGGCCAATTCTCCACCCACCTTTGCCCACAGAGTCCTCACCTTCAACCTTCATTATCTGGTAGGTGTCCTGCACCACCTTGTACTTGGGCTCATTGCGGAAGGCGTGAGCCCAGGCCTGGATAAGGTACAGGATCTTACTGCGGACGCTTGTCTCCACTTGCCTCTGCACAGGAAGGGAGGAGGAAAAAAAAAGAATCTGAGAAAAAGACCTTGAAACCCAAAGGATGGTGTGAATCCCTCAGAAGAAAAGGCAGAAATACCATTCATGGAAAGAGAGACTTTGGAGTACTTGTGCAAGGTAAGAGCTGTCAGAAAGCTGCAATAAGGACAATTCACAGCAAGGACTACATACTCCTTCAGCTTCCCCACTCCCTCCCTCCAGCACAAACAAGAAAATGTCCTTCAGAGCAGCACGGACCAACTTGAAAAGCTGTGTGGTTACGATGCTTTGAGAAAACACCCATAGAGACTCACACAGTCGCTCCCCGGGGCAGGCACAAGCACTGGCCTGCCCAACATCTCGCAAGAGTTGCTCATCCCGCACTCAGAAAATTGCAGGACCTACAGCTACCCAGCTGGGGAGAACAGCACAGTCTGCCTCACCCAAGCGCTGACAGAGCGCCACAAGCTCACCGCTGGAGGGTGTCGGTGTGAGGCTGTCAGCACCTCCAGCCCCGAGACTCCTGCCCAGGAATACCCAAAGCTACCTTGGGACGTGACACAGTAAGGACAGCTGGGAAGCCTGCCCTTTGGAGGCAGGGATGGTTGTATCACAATTCAAGGAGCCGGAGGAAACTTGGCAAGCCTGTTCCTATCCCAGCCAGCCTCCGAGAGCAGCCCTGTCATCAGCTGACCAAGTCATCACGCATTCACACGACCGGCTGCTCCAGAAATCCCCCGGGAAGTGGAGAAGCATTGTCAAGCTCCTATTTCAGCCGAGAGCTCGGCCCACACAGTGTGACTTACTGACAATTCCTGGAGCTCCAAACTCCTAGATTTGGCAAAATCCTGCATTCCACAAATGTCACAGCCCTGAACCTCATCTGAACTAAGACCATTTTATCGGCATTGGGCATTCACAAGCAGTAAAGTTCCAAGTGTAGGAGGAGAATGGGTCTGCAGCAGTTATGAAACTACCGAGGCAGACAAGGACTGGAGAGAACCACAAAATCTCTTGATCTGATCTGATCTGATCTCCCCAGCGCTCGGAGTGGCTGCACTGCTGTACCTGGCTGTCACATTGTGGCAGTGCTCCTATTGCAGCAGAAGATCCTGCATGGAGCCTGAGTCAGCCCTAACAGGAAGGTGACAGGAGAGAGACGCCCCGCTATGGTGTGCGAGATGATGGGACTCACACAGCTCATTCACCAAATATCTGGGTCATCCGGTCGTCTATTTCTGGCAGAAGACGGAGGCTGTAAGGAAGGAACAGCACTACTCTAACAAGCTCTTCTCTGGGCATTGCTGTTCTGGGGCTGGGAGCTGGAGACAGAAGTTCCCATTTCTACTTCACTCGTGGAAGTCTCCAGTCCAAGGACACACAGAGCTCCTGCAGGCATCACATTATATCACACTGGCAAGCGATAGCCTGTCAGTGAAAACAGCCAGGTCTAGATCCTGCAAAGCTCCTCAAACAGTTCCACAGGCTAATGAAATGGGTGTGATAAAGAGGAAGCTTCTGCCAGTTTTTATTTTGCTGCTTACCTTCCTGTGTGTCTCGTACTGTACTACAGGAGGGAATTCACCTCACCACTGCTCAGGTCCTTGGTGCAACTGCCAGACCATCATCTCCGTTTTCCTTTGCTGTCTCAAGCCAAGCAAAGCATTGCACCCAGGAGCATTTACCGTAGAATGGTCTAGGCCTTTGCAGCATATTCCTACCCCACTTCACGGAATAGTCAAACGTTACCTTGGCTCTCAGGACATCTTCTCTCCCTAGCAGGCACTCCTTAGCTCCCTACATTCATCCCTTCACATCATGTAATACAGTTTGGTCTTTTCTGGCATTTCCACACAGTTTCCCTTCTGTTCCTTACACAAAAGGAATGAAAGAAAGGATACACACATTTTCTCCTTCTGCTGCTTCTCTTACAAGCTCATTGAAAAACAATAGCAGAATAAGACATATTTACCTTGAGTATTTCCTTCAGTTCCTCCATAGTCTGTTTATTGGCCACCTCATCATGGACTGTTTGGCCACAGTTTTTAACCACCGACTCCATGACCTGCAAGGGCAAAGGACAATATTAGCCTGCCACTTTCTTCCTTCTCTGCGGCCCCCGGCGAGTCCCAGCACACGTTACAGGTTACTGCAGCCAGCACACCAAGACGGAGGCACTATTTAAGCAATGAGTTGCATTAGGGCAGTGTCAGTCAAGCCAGAGAAATCCACACCGCCATGCTGGAGAGTTAGCTACGCTTCAACTGCACAGTGGCCTTTGTACCTCTGCTATTTAGAGACAGACCCCCAGGGACAGTGTCTCGAGTTCCAGCTCTGTCTGTTTCTAACTCCGAGACGGAGTTAAAGAACGAAAACCATGGCCTGCTGACCAGTCACGAAACCTCTGTGCTAGAGCCAGAAGAAGGCAAACTCCAAGCCGCGACTCCGCCGCTCTGCGGGCAGGGCAGGGAACGCTGTGCAGACTGCGCAGCCAGGAGGCACGCTTCTAAAAGATGGGAAGTTCCCTGGCCTGTGAGCCGGGCCCCTGCAGTGCTCACGGTTTGGGCTGACGTTACCTCCAGAGCGTAGAGCGCCACGTGAGGATTCTTGTCGTTGACTTTCTTCTTGATAGCACTGACGGCGTATTTTGCTCTGCGTAAGGAAAGAGAGTACAGGTCCTCAGGTAATCAAGAATCCGAGGGGAGATTCCACCTGCTGCTGATAATCTGCTAACCCCCACCCTAACACAAAGCTACAGTTAGCTTACGGTCTACGTGATTCCCCCGAGGCAAACTGGGAAGAGAAGGAATAAGCACATTCAAGCTTGAGTTTTTCTGAGGATTTCAGGCCAGAGGTAACCTGCAACTCCTGAGGTCAGGGAAGTACCTCAACACATCCCGGTGTACTGTACTGCCTTTCCAAGGCTTTGCTCAGGGGAAATAACAAGACGCATGTTACCGTAGGCTGACGGGTCCGAGACTCTCACGCTTCACCGTGCGAAGACAAGGAGAGCTGCGCTTACAACACATCCAAAAGCCGAAGAGGACTTACTGGGTGTCTCCCTGACGGATCATGTCGCAGATCTGCAGGATGGATTCCCAGTCGGTTTCCAGCAGAAGCTGGCTCGTAGCCTTATCTGCAAGGAATAAACCTATTAGGCTGCTTTAGGCAGTTCTGATTATCCCGGCTCTGCTCCGCGACCACTGCTGCGTTTGCAGGAAGGCTCCCTGGACGCCGGCGATGCCACAGACCCGAGCACTCGAGGATACAAATCCTGATTTTTCCCGGAACGCGGCAGCTCTTCCCCTTCAGACGCCCCGGGGCGCTCGGTA